TATATATAAATGATTTATATAAATCATCATTTGTTGCACAGTAGCACCTGCTTCTTAATAAAAGCTGCTATTTTAACAAAATGCAGCAAGGAAGAGCTCTCAGTAGTTTAACATTCACGATGAGAAGAACACATAATCAAAGAATTTTCACTACTGCAGGCTGAGAAGACTGTTAGAGCAGTAAGCAGGAATTCACCTTCTGCAACCTCATCTAGCAGGACTGTAATCTTCTTGTCTTCTAGCAAACGGTCCTTCAAGAACTTCATGAAGATTCCATTGGCCAACCCTGACTGCTGAATTTCAAAGGCTTCTGCTCCTTGGCATCTATGAGATCACCAATATCAAGACAAGGAAAAAAAGACACTGACACAGCTGCATGATTAAGATCAACATGAGGACAAAAGGAGTAAATTTACGTTAGGAATAAGGGAGAGAAGCCCTACAATTTGAAAACCAGATGGTGTCTAAGGCCAGCCTGTATAGCAGAAGGACATAGAGACGGATGAAAATTACTGGTCCTGTAACAGGTCAGTATTTTTCTGTAGGAGATTAGCTATTGCAATCTCAGTGGTCACTTTTGGCTTCCAAACCTCTGTAGCACAGCAGAAGAAAAAATTTCCTTACGTGGCATATCCAAAAACGATGTTGGCCGTAACCTTCAGGGCATCTAAGACAAGAATTGTGTCATCGTACTCATTTCTGCAACAAACGGAAACACGGAGCAGTGAAATAACAATGTGAAAACTGGGAGCAGTAACAAACCTTCCAGCTGCTCAGAACACCAAACCAGCACAGCTCAGGAACAGTCCATGGCTCCTCCCCTACGCCTGCCGATCCCGACTGCTAAACAACCACCATCAGCAGCACCACCACTCCTCATGGAGACAGTGTAAAGACACAGCTGCATGCTGCACACTGCCCAGATAAGGCCATCTTATATTGACCAACAGAGTTTGGCTACAAACTCTTAAAATTGTTTCTGATAACTAGCCATTCTAGATTGTAACAAGAACTGTAAGATTGTTTTGTCTCCCCCCAAGACCTCGTGCCTGCGCAGTGAACGCGAGGCTCATGTGGCCGTGTTTCCTACGTGCAGAGCAGGCTGTGAAGCTGAACTGGTCACTGGGGTTTCATTAGCAGTGAGATTTAGAGGCCCTACAAACACTAAAGCATCAGCAGCTTTCTGTTATGAAACATGCCTCAGAGACCCACTTTCAGAAGTGCTGACTGAAGAGCTGGTTTCAAAGGCAAGTTTAATCAGGCACAGTAGTCTCTTAATATGGAAAGAAAACACTTTTTTTAGAGAAATCAAATAAATCAGATGACCTCCAGAGGTCCCTTCCAACCTCAACCAGTCCGTAAACCAGTTGATTTTTAAGCTCTAAATCAAGATACAACATCCCCAGCCTAAAAGTAGTCCACAAAATCCAGGCCTCTGAAGAGTTCTAAAATAAGCACATCACTTGAGCTCCTCTGTCAAATTCACATGCCTTTAGTCTTATGGATTCTCCTTCCTCCTGTAATGATTATGATGGTCAATGACGCAAGGGGAAAGGGTAATTTTTCTTCTTTCAGATACCTAAGTTTACTTTTATCTAATAGGACTGGCACTTTATAACTTTTAAACAAACACAGGAAAAAGAAACAAATGTCATTCAAATAAAGAGGGAAGTATTTACCCAGGGAAACAAAGTCTTACTGCCCACTTCACATTTCTATCCAAGGCCAAAGGCAAAATAAGAATATGAAATGAGTCTTAAGGACTTTAAGAACTCTCAGGCACAGGCTGTGAATTCTGAGAACCATGAACTTTCAAGTACAGTGAATTCTCAGCCTAGACTAAAGATTTCTCCTCAGTTTGAGGTACAGCTTTCTCTCAAGATCTCTTGCTGTTCTCTCAAAGTGGCTGGTCAGCTTTATTTGTTCATTTTTAAAATAGGCTCAGTTTTAATCTCTTGCTGCAGTGAATAAACTGAACCTCAGAGCTGGTTCCCAGAACTACAGTCACTACACCTGTCCCTCTGCTGTGAGGCAAAGGCAGCCCCCAGACACAGAGGGGTGCCGCCGGTTCTCCCCGCGCCCCCCGAGGAGCCCGTACCTCTTCCGACACATATCCAGCAGGAACACGTTGAGTCCCGTCTCCTTCTCCTGCATGAGCTTGAGGATGTGCTGCACACACAGGCAGTTGGCAGACCGGTAGGGATTTGGAGCATCGATGGGAACCATGAAGCTGTTGCCATAGTTCTCGTAGCCATGGCCAGCGTAGTATAACAGACCTGAGAGTTCAAAATACAGGTGACTGGACACACAGCTTAGGAGCACACAGCTTAGGAGCATACAGCTCAGGAGCACACTGCAACGTTCTCTAAGTGCCAGCACGGCCAAAAACTGCAGGCGTTTTGTCCACCCTGTGTGTCTGAGGGGGACAAACTATCCTTCAAGCTACTCCAGGCAGGTTTTTTAGATCAATATGCCTTTGTCAACACAGGAAGGAAGGGGGGAGCAGACAAAGCCATTGATATTAACCTCATAATACAGAAACACACAAAGTTAAAATACATTTGCTCATGCAATAGAATCAATTAGATATTTACATCAAACACACAAAGGTTTTTTCTACTTTAAGTAGAGTTACGACCTGTTAGGTATGATGTGTCACTCACAGATACGATCAAGGAAATTACCATCTGTAAATCATTTCCATGAGTGCAGCCACAGGGCCTGGAGTAGCAGTGAATCAGTGCAGATTTTATAGATGGAAAAAAACCAGTGCTGAACAGTTTGGGTGGATCTTTTTCTTAACAAGAGATGCTGTCATCTTTCAATTTTTTCTTTTTTTTTTTTTTTTTAACTTATCAATGGTTATTGGCAACTCTTAAAACTATTTTAATTGTATCATCAGAGAAAAACCCTTGCTTGCACTATGAGAGCATCTTGCAAGTTTGTAGTTTTGCTGTTTCCTCTGTACAGTCAGGTTTTTTGTCTTTTATAGCGAGGGATAAGAAATATCATTACATTTAGAGGAAGACAAAACAAAAAAGACTCCTGTAATCATGCGTGGTAGGACTCCAGAGCATGTTGCTGTTACCAGACCACCAAGAACTCTTAACTGCATCTACATCTCTTTACATTTACAGACTCGTGACTCTTGTGGGTCTACTAAACAAGCAAATTCTTTCCATGCCTACCTAGACCCAAAAGATTGTTCTGCAGTCTTCTCCCTTGTGCCAATGTACAAAAGCCTACTATTTAAGATTTAAAATCTTAAATGAAAAATTCCAGTACTTTTGTATGAAATAAAATATAACAGAATTTTTTAAAGAAACTTTTCTTATCCCTGAAAAAGGGAACTGCAGCCTAGGGCTTAGATTTTACTTATATGAATAAAAATGTCAAATATTAAAGTCATATCAATTTCCATTAAGATTAGATGATCTTAGCAATCATAACCTCCACTGCCATAATACAGTTACCAAAAACTTGCAGGATTAAATGGAATTTTCATAGTCATTCCCAGTGCTGTTTTTGCTTATCTATGACAAGTTCCATCTTCTAAAAAGGATTTTTATTTATCTATACAAAGCAGTCTATGAGTCAGATACTCAGTTAGTATATAGTGCTGCAGTTGAGTAAAAGTCAACCCAAACACTACCATTTATGCTAAGTGGAGATGCGGTCACCTTACATCATTATTCACAGTAAAAATAGCTCTAGAATTTATGTTACTACAGAACTTGAATATTCAGGAAAAATAAAGTGGGCCTACCCTACATACTAAAATGATGTACAATGACCTCAGCTTGTGTAGATAGGTATGCTACATGTTTAACTTCTCACTAGGGACAGCTGCAGCAGAACTGGAAATACCGCACACAGGCCGGCACGCTGCGTGACGGGACCGCAAGCTGGGATGACAGCCCCTGAGCTGAGCCTGGCCTCCCCCTTGCAGGCACTTGGGTCCTTCCCAGCCCGGCCAGGACCTTGCAGAGCGCTCTGCTCAGTCAAGAGCACTCCACTTCTCTTTACAAGAGCACTCCACTTCTCCTTACGGGGAACGTGCGTGCCCAGGAGGCACCAGTGCCCGGGGCAGCCCGGGGGGCGCAGAGCTGGGCAACGGCCTCGCCTCGCGCGGCTGCAGCCAGGTCCTGAAGGGTGCAGGATTTAAAGAGCATCGTGGAAAACCTGCACGAGTGAAGGCACTCTGGGGCTGTTTACAAGATTCCGACAGATAACTGAGACCAGGCAGCTTCAACAGTGAGAAAGGGACTCGAGCGCCAAGTCCGTGATTCCCTTGCCAAGTCCTCAGTTAAAACGAAAACCTAACATTTGATTTCCACAGTTTATATCTGGACCTAAGTCAAGGTTATGTTTGAGATTATGATCATCTGAGTATATATTAGACAAGTAATTCTAAGGACTGAAGGAAATCAGTCTCTTTAGTGTAAAGCACGATCTATCAGACTGTTTCCACAAGGACTAGAAATATCTCAGAAATAATAACTACATTTCTTTCATATCCTTAGATAACTGTGCTATGCTTATTTGATGACTACCTGCAACAGTTAATATGTTGAGCTCAAGATCAGAAATAAATCACCACATACCCAGAGTAAACATCTTTGGAGGGCCTCATGAGACACTTTGACACAACAATTTAAAGTAGGCTCAAGTTCCTCACAGACGTCAGCATTTCAGTGAACGCTGCCTCTCGCTCTCTCTCTCTCTCTGTTTTTTTTTTTTTTTGTTTTAAAGAAAGCAGCCTAGCTATTTTTAGCCTTTCTAACATTTGGGTCTATGTTTTTACCTTTGTCGAATGCCATATGAATTGTGCCCTACACTTAGATCAACATAAACTAAGATATTAGAGGAGGCAATCCCCATCACCTTGTTTACTACTCCTGCTCTTAAGGAGCAGTATCTGAAATGGCACTTTCCTGGCAGTGAGCACGAATTACACAATGTCAGTTTAGGCATCGTGACTATGTGTAACAAGGTCTAAACAGAAGTAGCCACCATCATGCCTCTTGTGTTTGGAGCTATGCCGAGAAAAATGCAATAAAACATTATCCATTTGTGCCCTGACAGCATCTTTTATATACTTTAACCCATTTATAGCCACTACCCAGAAAGAACAAACGTGACTATTTAAATTGAAGTAGTTATTGCCAAACACTACTGAAAAAAACCCATTCTGCTTACTTTTCAGAAATAGCAACTTGCTGTAAAAATACCACTGCAAAAATATGCTTTGTAAGAGCTTTCACATGGTGCTTGTGAGCAGCTCAGTACAGCCTTCCAGTATTTTATTTTCTAAATTCATGTCAACAATTTTAGAAAAAAAATTGAGAAGGTGCAATAATCTAAAAGCTCACTCAAATGCATTAGCATATCTATTTCCCAGGGAAAACAAAGAAAAATGCTATCAGAAGGTCTGCTAACTGCCATAATTAGTGTTGGAATCACAGACTGGTTTGGACTGGAAAGGACCTTAAGGATCACCTAGTTCTAACCCCTGAATATCATGCAAGTTTTGGCTGTGACATAAATGCCCAAATGTCAGATCAGCCAGTTCTGCACAGACAGAGCATCAGGTAACACACCAGTGAAAAAGTCACACTAAAAAAATAATCTGACCATGTGCTCCAGAAAAGAATCCAACAGTGCTTTCTCAGGTGGGCCTCACTACAGGAATTCTGCAATCTAAATACAACAACTGGCACAACTTTTTGGTCTCTCTTTAACTCATTTCTGGAGTCGTTTATGCAATCATACTTTTAGAAGAGAACCCAAAATGTCTGCTGCTGGCCAGCTCCTCCAAGCCCACATAACTTTTCTCACACTCCAAGCCAGGTCACCCCAGGCCTTTTCCATGCAAGACATGGAATTGATGCATAGAGCATAAACCTCCACCATGGCCTCCCCCAGCTAGCACAGCCACCAGTTCTGTCTTGTGCTTTGTCCCTCAAAACCAATTTTATGCAAGACAAGAAATCCCAGTCTGTGAGTAACTGTCTAAGAATCAGTGCCTACCAGACCTGACCGTGGAGTGCTCATCCCCACAGGAGGCATCTCCTGGGCAGGGGGTGGAGGAGAGCTGGTCCATTTCTCAGTTTGTGTTCTTTACGCAAAGTGCTTTCCACAAAGGATAACATGAATTCCTCCAGTTTATTTTACTTCTTTAAAGTGCATACAGATAAGAGAACTGCATCTTGATTTTACATAAACAAAGTTCCTTTTCAGTTTGCCTTTCGAATCAGAAATCCAGGTTTGCATAACTCTCTCTCACACCCTGTCAAGGGCATTATGGAAAACTGTGTTTGTAGTATACAAAGTCTACACAGTATCACAACAACTGAAAAAGTCAGCAATTCAAAGCAAGGATTTCTACTTAACCTGAAAACCTGACTGAAAAGAAGAAGGCAAAAAATATGGCATCCAACCTGTTGTGTCATGCCCTAACTAAAGCACAAAGTCTTCCTCGTTTCCATAGTGCGTACTTTAGTCGGTAACATGTTCATGAGAGACATGCTTTGCCACCACGTCCCACTGCCCATGACCCACCTGCTCCAGGAGTGCAGCCCAGTGCCAGGGCAAGGCAAACACCCTCCTTCCTCTGCTCTGGGCAGAGCTGGCGAGCGAGGACTCGGGGACCAGCACAGCCCCTCCCAGAGAGCGCCAGAAGGATGGAGATCCAGAAGGAAAGAGTATTCTGCAGACGTCCAGTAGAAAGACAGGAGATGAAAGGAAGGGTCCCACCAGCAAGGCCAGAACACATTCCATGCTGCACCACTGCAAGGCTGCCCCCACCTCTCCCACAGAGACGCAGCCCAGCAGCCTAACGGGCCACGGCACTGGCCAGCCCTAGCCAAGTCACTACCCAATAGCACAAGGAAGGAAGGAGGTAGATAGACAGGATAGAAGTTTACGAAGAAGGTGTTTGAGAGGTCTTCTAAAGGCAGCAAGGAGTGCTGCCCGAGGCTGCACGGCGTCTTGTATACTGCAGTCACACAATTTTCAACCACTCTGCTAGCTTGTTTCAATAACACACCAACACAGGCAACAACAGACTGGTCTTGTTCTTGCTGAAAAGACTACCACAACCTAGTGCTAATGCCTTCTTAGTACAGCTGTGCACCTTCTGCAGAGCATGTTGTCAGATGTGCTGCATGGATACAGCAGCCTTTAGTGACAAACGCATCAGTACTACGGAAGAAAAAAAAATGCACTGCAGTTTTAGCCTCAGTTAAAGGAAAAAATTCCAACATTTTCTCTGTTGAAAGAATAAAGAAACAATACTGTCTTAATTAAAGTCAGAGGATACGCTGGCGAGTGCTTTTAACTTGCTTTTCCCATGCTACATGCACGCTCTTTACCATTATCTTTGTTTTGCTATCACATACAGTGAGCTGGCAGAGGTAAATGCCAGATGCCTGTGCACTTGATACATCACAAACCTGACCCACTTCAGGAGGGACATGACATGTTCTTACCATATACTCCTTTGTCCAGGAGAAGTAAAAACTCATCCACTGCATTTCGCATCTCGGACTCAGTAAGATCCAGCAAAGAAACAACTTTGAAATCCAGCTGTCTGAGCAAGTTGGTCAGTTCATAGACATCGACCATGGGAGCCTTGAGCTGGGGGTGATTCCAGTAGCTCATATTTCCTATTAACAGAGCTACCTTGTCTGTTGCTACAGAGACACAGGAAAAACAAAACCACATCACATTTATATATTCCAGGGTTTCAATACCTGTGAAAACAGTATCTAATCTCACTTTAGGCACAATATTTTACAGGATTTCAAAAAAGTCATCCTACATCAGCAATACAGTTCAACTCTCTTATCCAAAATAGCATTTCAGCATGGTCTGGCAGTCAACATATCTGAATTGTGATGCATCTCACACTGGATAACCTGTCAAGAAGCAGGTTACTAAGGCTATCTCCCATTTATTTCATTTTTCTGAAGGCAAAGATAATTACTGAAGTCCTCAATGCAGGAAAAAATGTAATAAACAAGAAAATTCTTATGGCAAGTTGCCAAAGCTGCAGCCAGTATGCTTTCCCCAAACCCTCAAGTTTTCTTATGCTTCTTAAGGAACAAACCAAAAAAACATCACACAGGAAAGATCGCTTTCACATCTCCATTTCCCATGTCTTGTCTCTCTAAACCACTGCACATTTAGGTGGAAACTCTCACAGGTCAGAAGTAGTGTTTTTCCTTTTTGTTAAGGTTTCTTTTTACTGTTGCTCTGGATAAAAGCAATTCTACAGAGATAGAAGAAATTTACAGAATTCAGAGGGGAGTCTGCTGACATTCTCACACTTTGACATTTGACTTTGTTAATTTTGATTTTAATAAAGTCCAAAGTAATTCTGTTCTAAGTAAACAAAGCAGCAACGAAGGAGGAAAAAAGTCACATTAACAGAAATTCTTAAAACAGACTACTACCCTGATTTTTATCCAAGAACTACAACACTAAGTTAAAGAGAGGCACTTAATCAAAGCAAGGCACTTCCTCCCTGGTTCGTTCCTTCTCCTCTCAAATAGGAGAAATTGTCCCACAGCTCTGGTGGCAAATGAGATCCCCTGAATGCCCCAAACCTGCTTGATATTCAATAACCTTGCACAGCTAGGTCCAGAAGAGAACCTCTGTCCACAGCCTCAGTATCTTAACATTTCACCTGCTCAAAGAGGTTTTCAGCATTTTTGCACCTGGAAAACCTCCAAGGTCTTGAACAGTGTCAAGTATTTTAAGCAGCAGAGACCGAGTGCCAGTGGCATACAGTCATTGTAAAAATACACACTTTCTAAATCATGTAGAAAAGAACCAGGACTGGGGAGCATTTATACTCCCTCTCACGCTGATGAACATGAAAGAGTGGTAAAATTTTGACAGAGGCCAGCAGCCCTTCCACCTGGTTTAACATGGACAAGCACCACGTCTGACCACAGTCAGGTTCACGGTGCAAACTCCAGACCGCTGTTAATCCCCAGCACAACGCAGAGAAACTGTCCTCACCAGCTTCAGCTCAGGAACAAAGCACTCACACCCTGTGCACAGAAGAGCTGGGCTTGCAGGGACAGCACACCCTTTGCCCACAGATGACCAGCCCCTTCTGTCCCATCATCCTGACACCACGTCTCCAGCTATCCAAGTGTCCAAAGTAACGGTGTAACAGGCTGGCTGAGGTCGTGGCCAGAGGAATTTGATACAGTAAGCTGAAACAGATGAGAAGTTGTAGATGCTCCACAGAGTCACTAAAAATACTGGTGCCCTCACCACAGTTTACTACTGAAAGGGCATGCAAGCACTAGAAAGATCTATAAAAATACACAGCAGTCCTTCTCCCTGCAGCTTTTTTAATGCAGTATGGTTATTTCACTAGCAGTGGCAGAAGAAGCAAAATCCGTTTCCTAGATATGAAATGCATGTTCAGTACACCTACAAAACTACTTACCAACAGGTCTGTAACTCAACTGTTCTTGTAGGTCTGCTTAAAACAGATGAAAAGAGCAGATTGTCAGTAACTACAGTCATAGTTGCCAGTGTCAGAAAATGGACGATGTGTCCCACACTGCCGTGGTCTGCTTTGCCCAATACGTTATAGTTTAAGGCAAAAAAGTGCTCTTTTTGTTTTGGTGGGGTTTTGGGTGGTGGTGTTTACCTGATTTCCTTCACCCTCTTCCAGCAAACAGCCTAACAGGATACAAATAGCTAGTTCTATAAATTAAGAAATAACAGAGTCTTACAGTGTCATTTTGTATCTCACAAAGTGTGCACCAGCGTTTTCAGTAACCCCTGAAACGGTTCATCCTCTCCAAACGAAATGCAGCCGTGCGAGATGGGGGATTCCCAGCAGGGATGAGCACCTGTATGTGAACGTTCTTTTCCTTTGTGCCTTGCAGAGGGGCGGCAGAGCCGGCGCCGTGCCAGCGGGAACAGGCGAGCGCCAGCCAGAGCGGTACCCTTTGGGTGACACGGCACTTGACAGCACCACCTCGGTGACGAAAACTATTTCTTGGCAGAAGTGAGTGTATCTTTGATGTCTAACCCAGGAAATTGTATGACCTTTGTGATTTGAGATTTTGGGAACACTGTATCAGGCATAATCCCTTATGGAGCACTACTTCAGATCGATGTTTCTACAGTAAATATCAAACAGGTTTCAGGTCACTTTAGTCCCCTCCAACATGAATTTAAGAAATACACCAATTCAACGTACGGGCGACAGCCAGGCACCTTATACCTTTTTCACCTTAATCATCTGAAAAAGCAGCAACATACTGAAACTTAAAGAGTCCAAAGAAGTCACAGGCCAGAAGGCAAAAGTTAATTCCCTTCTGTATTTGTCTAAATATGCATGCAGTAGGAAAGACCAGCTTTGTGTGATTTGCCAAAGATAACAACCCTGTGAGTCATGACAGTCTTCAAGGTAACTTACTGGAGTCAGAAAGCTGTGCTGCTCTTAAAAGGACACCCATCCCTATTAAATCACCAGCTGTAAATACATCCAAATATAAACTATATATTGTAACCCAGCTTGGCTTCTGGGGTTTGTAAATGAAGAGGTGAAATTAAAGTTTTTCAAAACTTAACACTTACCTGTTTTTTGGAGATCACTTAGATCTTCTGTGAAGAAATACACCAATAAAATAATAGTTTAAAGAAGAAGCAAAAAATACATTTTTATTAATAAAAACACAATTATCATGCCATTATTAATAGAAGTGAAATGTCAGAAAACAATCTGTCTTCCAATATACATTGCATTTCTGTAAATCTAACCTTTCACGTTTATTCCACATGCAAAGAAAAGCCTACATCAATATCCTATGCTAGACACAGCACTTCAGTACAGTAGATCTCAAATCAAAGGGAGAAGCACATCCTATGCCTCAATCCCACAGGCATGCAAGCAGCTTGAATGAATAAAGAACCAGATAGCAGAATCACTTGTTTGAAAAATAGATGTTTGAAGGACTGCTCAAAAAGCAACATCCTGAACAAGAAATCTTAATTTGTAAAGCCACGTGTACTCAGAAAGGCTTCCGATACAATTGTCAAACACTCTAAGTAACCACAGGTTTCATGTATTTATTCTCAGAACACTGGAAATGATGGAAAATAAAAATAATTGATTGGAAGCACCAGAGGTCTCTTAGGGCAGCCTGCTCTGTGCAGCAGAGCCCTGCAGAGCAGGAAAGATGTGACAGCTCAAAGCTGTGCCTCAGAAGTGGCTGACACCAAAATGTGTGCCACCTCTGTTCCAGGGAGCAATGGTACACAATCCACTCAATGGTAAACCTTCAGCAAAAGGGCTAAAGGGACACATCAGCTCTGGTTAAACTTTGAACAAGAAATGCTGCAGAGCAGTTTCATTCCTATTCTATGATTCTGTGAAAAACAGGGTACAGAGCCATTTCTTACACTTCCCAAATGCATCTGTTTTTTTCATTGCTGTTAGGTAAGCTGGGGGTTCCTGCTGTAAGCAGCCTTACATCTTTATCTATGATCCCTATGATGTAAGTTTTACAGACTTTGAGATACTCAGTAATCACGGGATGGTATCAGCCTCAGAGGTCACAATACAATTCTCCCCTGCCACTGGAGCAATGCAAAGGGAAACAGAACTTGTCCTAGTAAGGCTGCTGGAAACACCTCTTGCAGGCATGGCTGACAGAGGAACTAGCTCTATCCAGCTCTCTAAGGGCATCCAGGTTCCTAAACATCTTTTGCCTTTCTTGAAAGGATGTTGCTTCCTGAGCCCAGCCAAAGATATCTCAAGATCTTTACGTTTCACTAGAAACTGTAAACACAGGACAAAAAAACAGTGCAAAAATCAGCTAACTACAGAAGAATAAAGTAACTTGATTTTTCTCCATGTGCTCCACATCGTGGTATCAAGGCAGAGAGGAGAGAAGCACATGCAGAAGGAACATTGCATCACACCAGCGTTTTAAAATAGACCGAAGCTCTTAACCCACACATGCTTTTCAGAAACACACTCAACAATCTGTCATCCTTGTCATTAATTATTAAAAATGGATTCACAGCTAAAGATTTACTTTACCTTCTGTGCATTCCACTGCCATAGCTTTCTTTCCTTGTGTTTTAAAGGGGGAAAAAATTGGAAGACAATTGCTCTCAGTTATGAGAGTTAGCACACACAGAGGAACAGAAAGGTCACTACCAAGCTTCTCTGCCAGCTGGCTCATTTTATAGCAGTATAAATCAGCACTGCCCACAATGCTGTCTAGTAATCACTACTAAAAACTCAGGACTACTACACTAGACTATTTCTTAGGTTAGGAAAGAAATTCTCATATGAATTAAGCAATAGTATTCCCATATAGATCTGGAAGCTATGCAAAAAGATCTTTTCCTTTCTGGTTTACTGCAAATACGTGCACACACACTAAACAAATTTATATTCATGTATTCTGATTGCTGTGAATAATCTCACTTGTCCCAACTGCTGAGGGACTCTGTGTAAGACAGTTCATATCACCAACAAGGGTTAAACTGTTTTTCAGTTGTCAAAAAAAGAAAAAAAAAAAAAAAAAAATCAGCTTGCAATCTGCTGACAAGCCGTGTACATGCTAGCAATGCCAAAGAGTGGTAGCACTTCTCTGCTGGTTATCATAAAGACCCAAAGCACTTTATAACTGATAAAGCTCTACAATTCCATTTGCTGAAAGCAAGCAAAGCTATTTTAACAAATAGATAAGCTAAAAATACAGAAGACATGTGATTTGCTTAACACTGAAGCTTCAAAAATACATTGTAACGATAGGGAAGAAATTGCTAAATCAGCTGATCTCTGTGTAAGAGGAAAACTCCTTACCTATAATGACATCTATCTTCTGGCTGTCTTGATCTTCCCGGTCATTGAATACATGGCACCAATATGTCCCTTGATGTTCCACATCCACGTAAGGTACCTGTGCAAGCATCATCACAGTCATCCTGCCAGACCCCAGCAGGATACCTGCAGCAGTATCATTTAAGCCCATATGCCAGAAAGAGTGAAAACTAAAAGTAAAGCCTGGACAAATCCAAAAGCTGCTGATAACCTAATTCTTCACTAAGCTGGAAGGCACATGTGTGTTAGAAATACTAAGAATTGAACAGAGAATGCAAACCCACCTCACAGGCTTGAGATGCCTCAAGTGCTGAATGCAACAGCATGTGCAAATCAGAGCACTCTGCAGTGCAAGGAAGAAAGATGAGCTTTCACTTTTACTGATGCTCAATCTTCGTTATGGCAATGTCAGGCCAACCCAAAACACACTGTAGCCTTACATGCCACGACTAGCCCCTGAAACATGCTGAGGATTAAAATTAACACATCTGAGAGCCTCAGAACAGTGTGGGCAAGTCACAGAACGGGAGAAAAGCTTCTAGCGAGCACTTCCACAGGAGGTTATCAAGGCTATGAGGAAGTTTTTTTCTTCAAGGAAGCTTTATGTGATAAGTTAAAGGTGGTGACACATTATTCCCCCAAGGCTGGCACTTTGCAGTAACTTACCATGTAGACATTTTTGCTCCCATCTGCCAAGGGAAAGCCATTTCTGAACCACTGGTAATGAGGCACTGGGTTTCCAACAGCTCCACATTCTAACACCAAAGCATCCCCCACCGCCAGGCTTTGTGGCTGAGGCTGAATACAGATGTGCAACCTGTTTTCAGGCAAACCAGTTAAGGTCCCTTAAAAAAAGGTAAAAAAAAAAAAAGAAAGAGCAAGACAGTGTAACTGCATATAGGCTTGTAAGAATTGATGACATGTGGTCACATCTTCCTGTAACCACAACAGACTCTTTTAATCGCAATGGAATTGTTACTTGTCCTTTAAGAGTGTACTAAAAAGGAGTAGCAATGGCTTTCCAGTTCTTCAGTTGACAAATAAAAAGGAATCCACATTAAATATACCTCAGAAATGAAAATAAGCAAAGCTCTCTTTTCATTATTTATTCCTGCCTGCAGGATTATAAAGGCTCCAGAGAAAAGGACGAGTACAAAGAGGAGTAGCTACTGAAGGATGGACTGAGGATCTAACTTGTGTGCAAGTGTGAACACACGAATAAGAATTTAAGCCTTAAAATCAGTTAGTTTTAGCATATCTCTATTCTCCTCATTCTAAACGGAACATCAGACCTTATGGTAAATACACTAAAAATGCTCAAAGCTAAAAACACTTAACAAACATCAGCTACTGGCATGTCCTTGTATAGAAATGTCTTTGGGAAAGAAACCTACTCAGAAAACCCTACTTGTCCTGCTGATGCAAGTTTCTACAAAAGACAAAACTGATTGACACAGTGTTGATATTCATGTTCAAAATATCCACTGCACACACAAGAGTGCTCCACTGCAAAGGTTTCCAATCTCTGGGTACCAAATAGTCTGATTAACTGACACATACTACAGCAAGCCCAGACCTACTGGTAAAGGTCACACCAGTGATCTCTGATCTTAGCTGCAAGGTCACAGATCTTTACTTTTGGACTAATATGTAGATAAGTTTTGTCATCAGAGCTCATCAATGACTGGCAATTAGAGGGTGAAGATGTTTTCCTTTACACAGTAAAATAAATCTGAAAAAAGAAAGCAACCAAGGGAGCAGGAAAAGAAAAATAAATTACAAAAAAAGACAGCAGCTGAAATAGAAGATTTCATATCAAGTCAACATTTGCAGAAATGGTACTGTCAGTGTCATCTAGTTCAGCTGGAACACCAGCAATGCAAGGGCAGATGTTACTGGAGATGGAGAGCACTCATGCACTGCAAGCACTACACACCCCTTCAAGGTTTCTTTGTAAGGACTCTAAGAGGGGAATTTAGAGGAAGGAGTAACTTATCCTGCCCCTCGTCTTTTTACCCATCACATCCAAAGACTCATTTCCACTATGGTTCCTTGTTGGCTAGAAGTCAGGGAACATAAAGCAAGGTACTAGTCTGTGGATGCCTGCTGCCCTTTAGTCACCAACACTTTTGCCAAAAGTGTGAAACAATATACTGCTGTTTTTCTAAGATTTTTTTTTTTAAACTAGTCCTTACAAGGTTATTCATCTCAGCTTCCTGGTGCCATCAGCAAGATCTAAAACTGCAGCTTTCTAACTGAATTGAACCTGAAGGAGAAGCAAAGGAAAAGCAGATTAAATCATTGCTTAGATAAGGGACTGAGACTATCTTTTGAGACAAAGATGTAAAAAAGGTCACCTCAAACGACATGGCAATAGCTTTTGATCTTTTACTGGAAGATTGATTCTCTCTCTTTCCTTTTATATGTGGGATGCAAGTGGAAAACACCTTTGACTCATGACATAAGCCAAATAAGTACTCTCCACAGGCTGCAGACAGTGCAGCTGATTTCTAGCTCACTCATCTTTAGACCAATAGCAAGCAAGTCCAGACTAACTATGAAGTTTATGAAGGGTAGACTTAGTGCATGAGTCAATGCCTATTTAATGCAACTGACTATTCTGTAAAAGAAAAACCTCAAAAGCCCCCAAAAAACCTACGCATCCCAGAAAACAAAGATGCCACTCCAACAACTTCAGGAAACTGGAAATAAATGTACACTATTTATATACTAGAGCCAAGAAGTAAATTTCCAAAATCTTTACATTCTACTGACGAATTCCAGCACTAGCTATATACCTTTGGAGTAGACAGCTGTTCACTCTGATTTGCTTTCTGCTATTATTTCATTCTCCTCATACTTCTCCCACCTGTAAGGTAGGACTTCTTTCTAAAAAGGCAGAGAACCTCATTAGATGCACCTTTACCCAAATGCCTTTATTCTCAGACTGGCAACACACAGATGAAGGGGAAACAAACAGTCTCGACTATTAGCCCAGAGCCCAAAGAGCAGACATTCAGAATAGGCTGTGTGTCCAGTCACTAGCAAGTTACAAGAGGTAAACAGGTAAAAAACAGAGTTAAAGAACTGCTCTTCTGACCCAGGGATGCTCTAAGAACTAAGAGGATCTGAGACTCTGTGTGGTTTCCACCTATTTGTTCTTACCGACCACTGTGGAACTTCATTTCTCTTCTGCTTACTGAGCCTTCTTTCACATCTGTGGCAAGACAGCAACAGGAACCCAAGTTCCTCTAACAAGTGGGAAGATAGACTTTCAGAAGACAGTGTTATTGCCACTCACCATGAGGTGTTCCCTGGAGATCACAAACGTCAAGTCGTGCCCACCGACTGAAGACGAAGGAGGAGTCACTGTTCACGCGGCAGATGTAGAAGCCAGAGTCGTTCACATTCACTGGATTCAGAACAAGCTCTGGAGAGTTACCGTGGGCAATCTGAATTGCAGGTGGACCAAGAAACGTTCAAATTTAGATTGATTTATTCTAAACCACGATCAAATGTTAGAATACTTATTTCAATGTCCATAATACCAGCTTAATCAACTCCTTCAGTTACTTGAGCCTTCTGGATGAGAAAGTCTTGTTCTATATATTTAGTAGCCCAGACACAGGCTTTCTTCCCAGAATAATTCATATGCCCCTACTTAAGACAATTTTGAGCTTTTAAGTCAGTTGAAAAGGTCTTCCTGAAATTAAAAGAGTTTACCTTTCCCCACAAATAACTTGGAATAATTTCTTAAGCACTACTGCAAACAGCATGTGTGTTACATTCAGCTCTAGTTTTAAGATATATTCAGCTATGCCCAGGAAATGGTAACATTCTTTCACAGAAAAAGAATTTTTTACTACATCTGTATTTTAACTCTAATGAGCAGGAAATTACTGTAATCCTATTTTTAAGCCATGTTTTGGATGATGTAGATAAACTTTTAGAAAGGTGTAGGAAATTAGTTGAAAAATTTCAGTCCTAACAGCAATTTAATTTACCATAACATTATTTTATGCATTTAAAAAAAAAAAGAAAAAGTACTTATAAAAAAATTACATTAAGAAAAAAGTGCATTCATCTTGTAGAATGATAACCAGGACCAGAAATCTGGACGTAAGTGCTGCCATTCCAATTCCAGAGATACCAGCTCACTTGCATTCCAGGATTTTACTGAAGAAGCCTGTGGCACCTCCAAGCTCAGGCCTTCCACTGTTCATCCTTGGGAAACCAGTTTCCATCCGTTCAAGACCAACGACTGGCATTTGTTCTGGTGTAGCAGTTTCTCCATGGCCTGTGCTAAACTTCTTGGTCAGCTAGAGAAAATTTAACTTACAGTTTCCTTACTGTCACATTCCCAGATTAGCCTCCAAGGATGAAGTGCTCTGAACATAAGGATCCACCTTATTGTTTTAGCACATTGATAGGGTCATTATGCAGCATTTCTTAAATTTCTATTTTTATCAGTATATATAGCAATCCTCTCATTGTAAATAAGAATAATTAGTATAAAAAAAATCAAAAAACATTACTGAAAAATTATTAAAATAAATTATTAATTA